CGCGAACTTCTGCAACGGCGCCCTGCCGCTCGAAACTCGTCACTGCCAGGAACCGGGATTCATAACCTGGACTCTCCCGAGAATCCGTCTCGTGGATTAGGAACCCGACATCACGCGGGCTACATCGAAGGCAAAGACCCCCCCCCCCCCCCCCCCCCCGTTAGAGCCGTGACAGACTGTTGGGGCGAACCATCCCCTCGTGTGCCGTGCCAGGCCCTCACAGGCGCTCGTTAACAGCACTTGCCCCAACAGACTGCGAAGGCTATACGGTGGAGGTGGGGGGGGAGGGGATCTTTGTCTTTGTAAGCTACAGTACATACTTAACAAATACGACCTTTGGAACTGAAACAAAACGGAGCGGTAGTTTTGGAATGTATGGATTATGACCGCCTTCCACCGACTGACTCGGCCGCTTTCCGAGCAGGATGCACAGAGATGCCTAGAATATTCAACGCCGCCGCCGCCACCATCGCCACCATCATCATCTTCTTCATATCCGTGGCCTTGAGCCCGCGGTGAAGGTCCACGTGCATTAATAACAATAACAACGATAACGGCAACAGCCTCACTGAGTCGTAAGAGCGTTGTTCAGGAGGAGGAGGGCGTTGTTGAGTCGCGACGTTTCGTAATTGTCTCGACAAATTGCTAAATGTAACGCTTTAAAAAAATTCAACAAAAAATCAAAATAGTGCAATAAAAGTAGGATTTAACACATCCCATCAGCCGCATGGCAACGGACCCCCCCCCCTCCTCCCGTGCGAGTGAGCGTGTTTAACGACGGTACTGGGGCGATTTCGGCGCGTAGGGTTTCATCAGCAGGGGCCAAATCTGTCTCGAACCCGGCGCTGATGAAGCTGCCCCGAATGCTTTTCAGGCAAGAGGCCCTCTCTCCCCCCTCCCCTCCCATCATCTCCCTCCCTCCCTGTAATGTCACTGGGCCCTAGGTTAGACTCGGAATGATCCCATCTTTGACTGGGACGACGGGGAGATGAATATTTGCGTTGGGGGTCGGATGTCAGCCCTGGGCCCCGAGGTGGTGGGGCGAGGGGGGGTTGGTTACGTTACACGATGATCGGTCGCGGAGCGGGACACTTCACCCGTTATGTAACGCTTCACTTGCATTCGCTCGCCGATTCTTTATTTTATTCTTTAATGGAAATTTTCGCGTCGCTTTCACGCGTAGCTGCCAACGACATCGCCGCATTCCGTTCCGGGGGGGGTGGGGTGCTATGCTCTGAAAAAAACCCGTGTGTGTGTGTCTGTGCGTGCGTGCGGAGCGGTGGCGCAGCGATTAGCGGCAGCGTAGCGGTGAGCGCGGAGCGGTGGCGCAGCGATTAGCGGTGAGCGCGCCGCGCTACGAACCCGGCGATCAGAGTTCGATTCCCGCTCGCGGCCACCAACACCCACTGACGATTGATCTGAACCGGTGCTGGTCCTCCCCTAGGTCTACTCGGCCTGGGGAGACAAAGGCGGCCGGGCGTTATACTGGAAGCTCTCATCATACCCCCCCCTCCCACCTCGTGTGACGTTTCGGCCATCAGAGGCGCCACTCGCTAGCAGCACTTGCCCCAGCAGTCTGTTAAGGCTACGCGGGGCATCTTTGTCTAGTCTGATGGGAAGGTCCGCGTCTGACCAGGACTGCAACGTGGAGCGACCGACTCTGCTGCACTGAACTCAAAACTTGCCAAGGAGAGGGGGGGGGGGTAGGGGGGGTAGAGGTGGGGGCGCTCCTGAAATGTTAAGATTATAAATGAGGGCCCGACATTTATACATTCCTACAAAACAACACTCCATGTATTTTCTCTAATCATGATCAATACGATCGATGCCAATTATCGGGGTCTCAAGGGGGCCGGGGAGGGATGGCGGGTGGGGGGGTACCCACACCCCCCCCCCCCCCAGTGCCGGACTAAGCTCGTGCGGGGCCTGTAGCATATGTTATAAAGGGGCCCTAGATAAATATTAAAACACACACATTTTTAACTTGCATAGTAAAGTAATTGTATTTTTAGATTTGTTAAACAGCCAGATAATACGCCAAATAGCTAACCTTAATCACCCGGTCGTTCATAAAAGTTGAAGGCAGTGTAGTACTATAGTAATAGAGCAAGTGCAGAATCGCTGAACCGGAATTGAAAGCTTGAAAGCATTTAGCGCGGGGCCCTTGAAAGTGCGGGGCCGTAGCTACTTCACATGTAGTGGTAGCTACTACACATGTAGCTACTACACATGTAGCTACTACACATGTAGCTACTACACATGTAGCTACTACACATGTAGTAGTAGCTACTACATATGTAGCTACTACACATGTAGCTACTACACATGTAGCTTACTTGTACTTCTGTGATCACCCGACACTGCACCCCCCCCTGCCTCTGGATCCGCCACTGCCCCCCCCCACACCAAGCAGGTGTGTGGGGGGGGCAGAGCTCGCCCCCACTACGCCGCTCGATCAACGCTCGTCGCCGCTTCACTTGGAAGATGCCGGGCGATGTGGGGGGGCGGGGGGGGGCTCCCGTAGGCGGATGGTCAAAGCGACGAGTCCTGGTCGGGTAGAGATGGGCAGACACATGGCGTGGTCACTGCCCCCCGGGCTCGGTCAGTTGCCCTATTGACCACAGCCGCGAAGCGCTCTTGATTAGACCCCTTGCCGTGAGAACACAGCGGCCACGCAGAGACGGGCCCGGCACGGGATTGTGCCTGTCACGTGTGTGTAAAACACGCAGAGTAGTACAGCTATTCCAGAGCCCCCGACATTATCTGTCTGGCTTCTTGCTGCACGCCTTTGTCTCTCTTTGCATCTGTCTTGCGTCTCCCTTGCCTCTCTGTGTCTCACTGTGCACTGTGTGTGTGTCTGCGCCGAGCTGTTTGTCTTAAGCAAGCCCTGGGTTGCTGACGCGAAACTGAGAAATATGCGAGATTGGTGCGGAGGTTTGTGTTTGCGTTGAACCGACGCCACCGAAATTACTCGTTCCGGGAAAAGCCGTGCGGCTGATGGGATGTGTCAAAAAAAAAAAGCACGTGTGCCTTTTTTGTTGACTTTATTTTTAATGCGGAGGGACGGACGGTGAGAATTTGACGTGCGTTGTTTAATTATTTATTCCATCGCCCACATTTAGATACGCGTGACCTCTGACCCGTGTTTGTAGTGGTCAAGGCTGATGTGGACCATCGCAGTGACCCAGCGTTGCCACACCGGCAGTAAAAACCTGGGACTCTCTGTCCAGGAACCATAAAATGGTTTTATGAACAGAATAACTACGAAGTTTGTATCTGTGTGCCCGTGTATGTTTCTGTGGAGTCGTGTGTGTGCGTGTGTGCATGTGTGTTGAGGGGCACGGCAGTGCAGGTGTTAGCGCGCTGCGCTACGAACCCGGCGACCCGAGTTCGATTCCCCCTCACGGTGGCGATTATCTGAACCGGTCCTGGGTTTCCCTCTAGGTCGACTCAGCCTCAAACGGGAACCTGGTGCGGTGTGTAAACATCGCCACTCGGGATACAAAGGTGGCCGGGCATGGTGGTGGTCACCCACCAGCTCTTGTGCCGTGTCGGCCTTCATAGGTGCTCGCTAACAGCGCTTGCCCCAACAGTCTGTTAAAGCTATACGGGGGATCTTTGTCTTTGTTGATGTCGTGTGTGTCTTTGCCTTTGTACGTCCGCGCTTGCCTCAGCCCTTGTGGCCTCCTGCTCGTGATTTTTTGCCAAGCCTTATGGCCTCAAAGTGCACCTAGCCTGGTACAAGTGCTGCTGCAAGTGTCCCCAACCGCCTCACCGGCCAGGTGGTGGCTCGGGGGTCGAGCGAGCGGCTCGCAATCGGAAGGTCAGGAGTTCAACTCCTGGTTGGGGGGTTGACTCAGCCCATCATCCTTCATGGGTCGATAAAATAAATACTATACTTTGTGTGTGTGTGGGGAGGGGGGAAGTATAAACGTTAGTTATTTTGTGGATGTACTTGCCCCCGTCATATGACTGTGGAATTTCCACCAGAGGCTCAGTGCTGTGAGTAATTAGATGAGTACCATTACCTCAATGCTCATTTGAGCAAGAAATCACTCTACCTTGACTTTGGCTGCTGACTGACAAATACATTTCGATGTAAAGCTTTCGTGACTGCAGGGATTCATCTTCTTGGTTCTTTCGGTAAAGTCACGAATAAGGGAAATAATAAAATAATAAAAATAAAACATAATAAAATTATTCTCACGACGTTTCGGCCACAACGCAAGCAGCCGTCCTCAGGTGAAGACCAGGTCTGTCGGGGAGACAGCGTCTGAATGAAACACCACCACGCTTGGAGCGTCTATTTAAGCGTGGTGGTGTTTCATTCAGCGTGGTGGTGTTTCATTCAGACGCTGTCTCCCCGACAGACCTGGTCTTCACCTGAGGACGGCTGCTTGCGTTGTGGCCGAAACGTCGTGAGAATTATTTTATTCTGTTTTATTATTTGATTATGTTTTATTTTTATTATTTTATTATTTCCCTTCTACGTGACTTTACCGAAAGAACCAAGAAGACTGACAAATACTGCTGCGGATCACCGTTGCGTGCGTGCGTGCGTCTAACGCCGTGTTGTCGTGCTGTCCACCGGCGTGGTGAAGTATGCACGGCCGTACTTCACCACGCCGTCCAACTCCACGACGCGCATCGGGAGAAAATTGCGTCCGCGCATTGGCCTGGACGTGGGCCTCCCCTGGGTTGGTTTGGCGTAAATGATGACTGCTGGCCACTGCACAACACCCATGCTTGACCTTAGTAGGTGGTCACGAACTGCCCTCCCCTTGACAGCCTTCAGAATCAGAATATTGTATTCATACTGGAGGAATCCGACGAGCAATGAAACTCTTGTTCACAGATGTCCGGTCTTACGTGGCTACACGGGGGAGGAGGGAGGGGGTGGGGTAGTGGCAACACACCTTTGTCTTAACGCATGTTGACCTATCGATTGTTCCTCCTGCTATGCAAATTAACGCGCGCCTTGTTGATGACATTCTACCCAGAGTACTACTCGTCGGAGAGCATCCTGCGACCGAGGAGCGTATCGCACACACGGAGCAGGGACAGCCCAGGTGAGATGCTCGCACACACGCACACACGCGCACCTGCACACCTGCACCTGCTCGCACGCACTCACCTCTGTATGGATGAGGACGAGGATTTGCATTGACGAGCAAAGGGTGTACCCGTGTGTGTTTACACAAATATCAGTACTGGGGAGACAAAGGCGGCCGGGCGTGGTGTTAGCCACCCACCCTTCCATGTAGGCGCTGCTCGCTAACAGCACTTGCCCCAACAGTGTTGAGGCTACACGGGGGGATCTGTGCCTCTTTGTGCGGGGAGCGGTGGCGTCGTGGTTCGCACGTGGTGTGCTACCAGCACCACGACCTGGGCTCGTAGGGTTCTAGCTAACAAGACCTGGTCCCGACATTCCACATCATAAGCCCAACGTGTGCATCTATAAGCGCTGAGTTTGATCGTGTTTTTTTGTCTCCTGTGCACTCGCACACTCAAATCACTCACTCACGCACACACTCACCTACTCACCGACTCACTCACCAATCCACTCACCCACTCACTCCTCACTCGCCCACCAATTAAATCACCAACCAACTCATCCACCCATCCATCCATCCACCCACTCCTCACCCACTCACATCGACCTACCCACTCACAAATCCATCCACTCACCCACCAACCAACTCATCCACCCATCCATCCACCCACCCACTCCTCACCCACTCACAACGACCTACCCACTCACAAATCCATCCACTCACCCACTCACCCACCCACTCACCCACCAACCAACTCATCCACCCATCCATCCACCCACCCACTCCTTACCCACTCACATCGACCTACCCACTCACAAATCCATCCACTCACCCACTCACCAACCAACTCATCCACCCATCCATCCACCCACTCCTCACCCACTCACATCGACCTACCCACTCACAATCCATCCACTCACCCACTCACCCACTCATCCACTCACCCACCCACCAACCAACTCACCCACCCACCCACCCACCAACCCACTCACCCGCGCGTAGAGGAGGCCCAGATCGCGGCGTGCAAGCCGCGCAACGCGAGTGTGGAGATCCCGCGAGCGCTGCTGGACACCTCCTCCGCCAACTTCATGCTGTGGCCGGGCTGCGTGGAGCTCCCGCGCTGTTCGGGCTGCTGCAACACGGCGGCGCGGCGCTGCACGCCGTCGCGCATCCACACGCGCCAGCTCAAGGTGGGCCCCCCCTCCTCTGTGTGTGCCCGCACGTGTGTGCGTGCGTGCGTGTGTACACCGTGGGGAGCGGTAGTGTAGCGGTTAGCGCGCTGCGCTATGAACCTGGCGACCCGGGTTCGATTCCCGCTCACAGCTAACACCAGTGACGATTATCTGAACCGGTCCTGGGCCTCCCCTAGGTCGACTCAGCCTTAAATGAGTACCTGGTGCGGTGTGTAAACATCGCCACTGGGGAGCCAAAGGCGGTCAGGCGTGGTGCTGGCCACCCACCCCCTCGTTCGTGTACCGTTCCGGCCCTTCATAGGTGCTCGCTAACAGCACTTGCCCCTACAGTCTGTTAAGGCTATACGGGGGATCTTTGTCTTTGTGTACACCGTTCCGCGCATGCAACGACAACAGCCGTCATTCTCCACGAAGTGGCGGCGACGTCACCACGGCAACTGTGCCAGGCCAGGTGCAGTTTTGAGGCCACGTGAAGTGTCAAAGGCTCGCCGAGGTCACGGCACAGACGCGAGGTACCATGGGTTGACTGACTGAGAGATGACTGGCAGATGCACCAGCTGTGTATCCTCCTGCTGTGCGCGGCGTCGCGTACTCGGCATCGCGTACACAGTGGTGGCAGATAAACATTCGGGGTAGTCAGCCCCTGCAATCCCTTTTCTTTTCAAAGGGAGCCAAAAATATCCCCCTCTATCTCTTTCTACCTGCGTGGGTGCCACTATTTCCCAATCAGCGGCGACGACGACGACAACAAAATCAAAGGAAGATTACGCGGGGGGAAAAAAAATTGAAACGAAAAATAATCAAATCTTAAACCGCGCTTCGACGAGAGGGGACAAAGGAGGCGAGGGACCATGGCCGGGCGTCTCCCTCGACTGACGCCGATCAAGGGCCACCGATTTAATCTGCAAGAGCGTCGCCGTCGTTGGTGGCGGCGTTGGGACCCCCTTTTTTGTCGTCGCGTGATTTTACTTCTCGAAGGTCGTGGTGGGGAGGGAGAGCGAGAGGGAGAGCTCGGCTTGAAGGCGGCGACGCGACACCGAGCGTGATGCGGAAGCCACCGGGTTTCGCGTGTGGATTTTTGTTTACGACGCGATGTGAAGGATTTTATTCCCGGGATTTCTCTCCAACACTTGGGGTCGTTGTTACGAGACGCGACCGCGTAAGCGCGTCGTCAGCCCGATGCCACGCGGGCCGCCACCTGTGGCAGGACACCCAAAAGAAAATCACGGAAGTGTCGTCACTGTAAGTGAGTGATGTCACTTCTTGTGACGTCACTTCCTGTGATGTCACACTTTCGGAATATTCGGAAACAATTTTTTTCTTTTTCTTCCTTCCCCCCCTCCTCCCCTTGATCATCTGAAAGGTTTCGGAAAAACGCGCGTTTTTATTCGGAGTGATCGGACCCCAAAAATCAACGTCGAATCGTAATCCCGGTTGCGAGACGCCGGCAAACGCGTGAAATTGCCACGATGGTCGCCACGTTGCCGCACGGCGGCGGCGGTGGTGGCGGCGGCGGCTACGCTGCTGCATGTGGCTGCCTCTAATCTAGCACTGCTGTGCAGGCAGCAGCGAGAGGTCGGTGGATCATCGCACAGACGGTTGTGATACTCCCCTCTCTTCCAGTGGCGGGCGTGGAGGCAGTGCCATATTCTGGCTCGCCAGGAGAAGGCGGTAGAGAGAAGTGGACTGATCGCCATCTGTTTCCATCTGTAAGGGGATGGCGTGCTGCTGCCGTCCCCTTCGCGCAAGGAGTGGGGTTTTCTCCCAAGTGCCCCGGTTTCCTCCAACGCTTGTATAATAAATATACAGCTGGTAATTAATTGGCTGCAAACATCTTAAAGTAAAAAAAAACAATGCGGCAGGACCCACCTGAAAATGAGCCCTATGGCTCTCCTGGTGACGAGATGTTAACTACCTCGCCTGGTATACAGGAGGTCGTGGGTTCCATCCCAACCCTGACGCCTGCTGTGTATTTGGAGTTTGCGTGTTCTCCCCGTGGTTGCGTGGATTGTCTCCGGGTCCTCTGGTTCCTCCGGTTTTCCCCTCCACATTTAGAATCAGTATTGGGCTGCTATAAATTTCCACGCGATAAGCCACTTCGTTGAGCTATGATTTGTGATAGCCAGGCTGCTTCTGAAAAAAAAGCTTTACAGCTCAGTGGGGCTTACGTGGTAAAAAAAAAGTTAGTAAAATAGTAAATAAGTACATTTGCTATATTATTTTAAAAAGTGATAGTATAATTGCGTGAGACCACACACGTAGTAGGGGAGAGGTGACTGAGAGGGTAGGGGAGGGGGGTACGGAATGATTGGTGGGACGTCGTAGGTCGGTCTCATGCGGAGTCGGGAATGTCACGGCGGGAATGTCCCCTGGAATGTTCGTGCCTGCGGGTCGCCCAGGAACACTTCTGTGAGCGGGCGTGAGCGAGTGAGTGCGCGGTGCCAGTTCTGCCTTTAGGGTGGCTAACAAGAGGGAGGGAGACAGAGAGAGAGGGAGAGAGAGGCTCGTGGATCTGTAGCAGGGAACTGATTTATCAAATAAAACTTTCAAACGGATGCTCTTGGATTAGTGTCGTTGTCATGGGCCCTGGTGCAAGAAATACAACTATTTGGGCCCCCTCCTGTCCAATCTCTCCGCACCCCCGCCCTCCCATCTCCGTAGCCCAGCGCCTGGACCACTCTCGTGGGTGCCAGTGGCAATTGCACCGCCTGCGCACTCGGTAGTTGGCAACTCCCGTGGCTTGCGCTGTGCTCACGACAGCTGCGTCAAACCCGCGGCGGTGGCGGCGTAAAGATCGATCACTGAGCGATTCGTTCAAAAAAGGCGACGTGCGTGACACGGTATCCTGCATTTGTACGTAGGCCGGCGGAGTGGTTCAAAAACTCCAGGAAAGAGCACGGGAAAAATAAAAACAAGAAAAGCAAGAAACAATACCAACGAGAAGGCCCCCCCTCCCTCCCGCAAAAAAAACGAGACGACCTAAAGCTCACGAGACCGATTCCTGAATCTAATCCTGGCCCCCAAATGACGGTAATCCATTGCATCCGCAGGCGTCGTTTTTTTTGTTACGGTTTGCGCGGTACTGTCGGTTGCTTAATCTCAGCCGGAGCAGTCCGGAACAGTCCGGAATATTCCGGCACAGTCCGGAACAGTCCGGAGCGCTGTCCTGGGATTTATTTTGACGCCCGGCCAAATCAATATCGCCACATTTTTTCATTTTACCTGTTAATTGCATTACGTTAATGTACGTTCAAATAATATAGAATAAATATTATTATGGATAGGCGAACTGTAGTGGTAGTGCCTTACGTCGGGCGAGATGAGCAGCTGGCTGGACTGGTGGCTGGGTGGGTGAGTTGCTGGGTGGGTGGCTGGGTGAGTGGGTGGCTGGGTGAGGTGGCTGGGTGTGGGTGGGTGACTGGGTCGTTGGCTAGATCAGCAGCTGGCTGGGTTGGTGAGTGGGTTGGTTGGGACAGGGTGGGAGGGATGGCTGGGAGGCTGGGTGGGTCGCTGGGTGAGGTGGGTCGCTGGGTGGGTGGGTGGCTGGGTGAGGTAGCTGGATGGGTGGGTTGCTGGGTGGTTGGAAGCACGGTGGGAGGGATGGCTGGGAGGCTAGGTGGGTGAGTCGCTGGGTGAGGTGGGCCGCTGGGTGGGTGGGTGGCTGGGTGAGGTAGCTGGATGGGTGGGTTGCTGGGTGGTTGGAAGCACGGTGGGAGGGATGGCTGGGAGGCTAGGTGGGCGAGTTGGTGGGTGAGGTGGGTCGCTGGGTGAGTGGGTGGCTGGGTGAGGTGGCTGGGTGGGTGGGTTGCTGGGTGGTTGGGAGCATGGTGGGAGGGATGGCTGGGAGGCTGGGTGGGTGAATTGGTGGGTGAGGTGGGTCGCTGGGTGAGTGGGTGGCTGGGTGAGGTGGCTGGGTGGGTGGGTTGCTGGGTGGTTGGGAGCACGGTGGGAGGGATGGCTGGGAGGCTGGGTGGGTGAATTGGTGGGTGAGGTGGGTCGCTGGGTGAGTGGGTGGCTGGGTGAGGTGGCTGGATGGGTGGGTCGCTGGGTGGTTGGGAGCACGGTGGGGAGGGATGGCTGGGAGGCTGGGTGGGTGAATTGGTGGGTGAGGTGGGTCGCTGGGTGAGTGGGTGGCTGGGTGAGGTGGCTGGGTGGGTGGGTTGCTGGGTGGTTGGGAGCATGGTGGGAGGGATGGCTGGGAGGCTGGGTGGGTGAGTTGGTGGGTGAGGTGGGTCGCTGGGTTGGTGGGTGGGTTGGTTGGGACAGGGTGGGAGGGATGGTTGAGAGGCTGGGTGGGTGGCTGGGTCGTTGGCTAGATCAGCAGCTGGCTGGGTTGGTGGGTGGGTGGTTGGGAGCAGGGTGGGAGACTGGGTGGGTGAGTCGCTGGCTGGGTGGGTGGCTGGGTCGTTGGCTAGATCAGCAGCTGGCTGGGTTGGTGGGTGGGTGGATGGTTGGGAGCAGGGTGAGAGGGATGGCTGCGAGGCCGGGTGGGTGGGTTGGGAGTGCTGGGGCATTTCTGTCGTGCCATGCTGCCCGTTGCCGTACCAACAGCGGGGACAAAAGACGATTCACCACTCTGCCCGGAAGCCTCTTCGCCTCACAGACAGGCATCGTGGGTGGGTGCCAGCCGCGTGCTGGGCTCGTGTGCGTGTGTGGCAGGGCGCTTGATATCAATCAATTAATTCATGTGTAATTCATTCATTATTACCCCTCCCTCCACGTTTCTGTTAATAGTCCTGAAGCCAGCAGCAGCAGCAGCTGTGTGGGCAGCCGCTGTTGTAACGCTGCGAGGGACCGTTCTTCTTCTTATTATTCTTATTCTTCATTCTTTCGTAGATGCAGAGCAACGACTACAATTTGACATTGTAAGTTGGTCAAGCCCAGACGGCCGCGTCAGGAGACCAGCGGAGCGCATCGACGCCGCGATGTCGCGCTCCGGGGATCGGGGGTCGCATTGCGTCGTTCTGCGTCGTGTCGCGGATGACCCACCACGACGATGGGTCACCACCGAGCGGTTTTAAGTCCTCCATCTTGCGCATCGGGGCATCGTCCGCGCATCTTTTGCCCGCTTGTGGTTTGTGCGGCGGATGATCGTGACGATGACGATGATGATGCGGCCTAGGACGAGGGTCGTCGAGTCGACACGTGACGGGGCCAGGGGGTCGCGCGTCTTCTCGCCGGCGTCTCACGCGGGGCCGGGCTGAGCGGCCCGAGGTTGAGCGGCATCGCGATCGGGGGCGGTTGAGAGCTACTCGAATCCTGGCCGCGGTCACGCTAAGACTCTGCCCTTCGTCCCTCCGGAGGAGTTGGTACCAAAGATATTATGAACACCACCCTCGTGGTTGTCCTATAGAGAGACTCACCCCCCCCCCCCCGCTCCCAGCTCCACTCCTGCTATAGGAATGTGGAATTTCCACCACTGGCTCAGGGTTGAGCACCAAATGCGCGTGTTTTTGTTGTTGCAAGAATTCACTTAAGGTTTGTGTTTGACTCGTAAGTAGACTCATGGTTTTTGGTTGAGGCCACACCGCACAAGTAAATTATTCGATGTTTCTCTCTGTCTCGTGACCCCCCTGGATACGCAACGGGTCATCAAGAACAACAACAACAACAAAAAGGCTGATACGGACGTTTCGATTGATGGTGACAACCACCAGCAACGCCATCATCGTCGTAATCATCGTCGTAATCATCGTCATCATCATCGCGCCGTCATCGTCGTTGTCATCGTCATCATCGTCATTATCGTCGTCATCAGGCCATTTCTAGAACGCGAGGCGATCTCGCTTGACCACTTTTGTTTATTTTGTAGGGTGGTGGAAGGTGTACGACACACGGTGGCGCGTGACTCCTCGCGCAGCGATCTGATGCCCCGCATCCTCCCCTCCCGACCCCCCCCCCCCCAAAATGTAAAAAATATTAATCGTAATCACGACCGTGAAAGTTCGCGCGTTAGATTGTTGTTGCTGTTGTTGTTTTGCTCGTGCGGTGGCCCAAAACGCCAAGCGGCCAGCAACAAGCAGCACTACCGCAGTGGTAATTATCTCTGAGAATCGGAGTGCGCGTCTGTGACCTCTGCCCCCCCCCCACCCACCCCCCCACCCCAGTCGCTTCTGAATGCCGTGATTTATATTTTCTTCTTCTTCTTGTGGCCGGGTGTCACCGTGGGTCAGTGTGTGCGCGCGACGATCAATCAGGAGGTCGCGGGGGGTTCACATCCCAGTCGGGGGTCGACTCGGCTCATGATCATCGTCGTCGTCGTCGTCGTCATCGTCACCGCGGCTCGCGCTGCTGCTGCTGCTGCTCTGGAGACGGCGAGATCGATGGTCGATGTTCGGTCGCCGCGTCGATGGGACACCCGTCGCGATTTCTCGCTCAACGGAGTCGGGCCGCGCGTCCGCTGCTCCTCGACGCGGTCGCCTGCCGGCTTGACCACTTCCGTCGTGAAATTGTCGTTCTTGCTCTGCATCTACATCAGCCGTCGTACGAAAGAAGAAGTAGTAGATCATCATCACCATCCCTCGGGGGGTGGGGTCACAGATGAGAACCGATCTATGTGGGGGGGGCGGGCACTGCCACCCTGGTGGAGTGGAGGGTTTTGGCCCAGGGGTTGGCAAACAAAGTAACAAGAAGATGCCATTTTTTGTTCGAATTCGATACTAAACTCAATACTTCAAGAGCGTGTGAATGCATCCGTGCGTACGCCACGTCACGCCACGTGACAGAGCGGTCCGTTAAAGAGCGCGGCTGGGCACGAGCGATTTCCCACACATCGCGATGGACGAAGCTGAGTGAGAGCCACCTCACCCCCCATCCAATTCACTCGAACACTCACTGGGTCAGGCGGCAGTCGCTCAATTCACCAACTCGTCCGCTCGCTCGTTCGCTCACTCATTCACCCATCCACTCACCCACTCACTCACTGAATCCCCCACCCACACACTCGCTCACTCATTCACCCATCCACTCACCCTCTAACTCGCTCAACCCCCCACCCACTCGCTCGCTCGCTCATTCACCCATGCACTCACCCTCTCACTCGCTCAATCACCAACCCCCTCGCTCGCACATTCACCCATCCACTCACCCTCTAACTCGCTCAAACCCCCACCCACTCGCTCGCACATTCACAACATGCACTCACCCACTAACTCGCTCAATCCCCCACCCATTCGCTCACTCATTCACCCATGCACTCACCCACTCACTCGCTCAATCCCCCACTTACTCACTCAATCCCCCACCCACCCACTCGCTCACTCATTCACCCATGCACTCACCCTCTCACTCGCTCAATCCCCCACCACTCGCTCACTCATTCACTCACCCATGCACCCTCTTACTCACTTGACCAACGCGCGTTTCCCAACCCACTCGCTCACTCAATCATTCACTCACCCTCCCGCTCACCCACCCGACATTACTCACTCGCCCGCAAACTCCGCACCTCTGGACAACCTCACGTGTTGCCTTGTTTGGCAACACGTGACTCATCGCCCGGGCTTGTCTGCACGTGACGTCACGCGCGGCATCCCAGCAGACGTCACACGCACACGCACGCAGCACAGAGCACTCTCTGTTTCATTCCTTATTCCCCGGGTCCTCAATGGGTGCCCGCGTGGTCACACCCAAAGGGTCCCATTTCATCCGCCCATTCATTCTTTTCTTCGTTCGTTCATTACGTGTTGTCTAATGTTCAGTCGTGGCGCGGGGCGCGTCACGTGGGGGTTGATGCAGGACTCCCCCCTCCCATCTCCCGCCGCTCTGTACCGCGAGCGCGGCCGCCTTTATCCCTGAAATCGAGCACTTCCGCGGACAGGCCGAGCCCCGCTGAGCTTGGGAGATCTGACGAGTTGGAGAATAGATCTGGTCGCACCTGGCCGCTACTGGGCGGATTGTAGAGGTGCAGCCCCGCAGTGGCTTGGCTCGCGCTACTGCCAGCGGAAGGGGCCTCTCCGCTGTAGGAAGCTCCAGAGAGAGAGAGCCCCCTCGAGTCGAGCGTGTTTGGCCTACTCTTCTTCCACGCTCGGCAGGACGTCTGGGGAAGAGGTGGGGATTACCGCCCCACACTTCACCCCCCACCACGCACGACCTGCCGATGGACCATTTGCGGTGCGCGCGTTTATCCGCCAGGGTGGCAGCGTGCCCCCGCAGATCTGTGACCCCCCCCCCCACCCCCCATGGATGGTGGTGATGATGGTGACGAAGACGATGATGATGATCATGAGCCGAGTTGACCCCCGACTGAGATGTGACCTCCCCCCACCACCCCCTTCACGACCTCCTGATTGATCGTCGCGCGCACACTCTGACCCACGGCGACACCCGGCCACAAGAAGAAGAATCAAATATAAATCACGGCATTCAGAGGCGGCGAGGGGTGGCTTGGAGGTCAGGGACGCTGAGCCGGGCAACCGCCAGGAGCCTGGGTTCGAATCCGGGTTCCCAAGTTGATGGACTAAGCTCGGTCACCAGTGACTGGCACACAGAGATCCATCGACTTGCACGGAGACCTGTAGACTTACACAGAGACCTATAGTCACACAAAGATGCATACGCTGACGTAGACCAAGTGGTGATTAAACCTGGTTCTCAAGCATAGCGAGTTGGTGATCTCAGCACGGTCACCGATGGCTGCACAGGGAAAAGAAAAAAAACCCCAACGCGTTGGATTTTTGTTGTGCGGTTAACATCGCCCGATTTGCTCGCTCGCTTGCCTGCTCAATAAACCCGCCGCCTTGTGCTCTGCGCTTGGCCCGGGTGCAGGTGGCCAAGATCGAGTACACGCGCAAGAGGCTGCGCATGAAGGAGGTGCTCGTGAAGATGGAGGAGCACCTGGAGTGCCGCTGCGAGTGCGTGCCCGAGACGGCGTGCGGAGACCTGGAGGGTGAGTGACTCGTCCGGCTGCTTGCCCGCTCGCTCGCCTGTCTGCCCACTCACCTGCCCGCACGTCCTCTTGCTCACTCACTCGCCCATCCATTGGCGTAATCGCTCGGCCGCTCACTCACCCATCCACTGGCTCACTCGCCCACGTGCTCACTCACTCACCCGACCGCTCAACTGCTCACTCACCTGCCTGCTCACTCGCTCGCTCACCTATCTGTTCGCTCACTCACTCACCCATCTGCTCATCGTTCACTCACTCACCCGTCCGCTTGCTCACTCACTCGCCCGCCCGCTCACCTGCTCACGGCACGAGTCACCCCACCCACTTGCACGCAGCCGGCCCGGCGGTGGTGCTCGTTGCGGCGCTTCGGGGCTCGAAATCCAGCAGGTCCGTCCCAATGAATACCGCCGTGCGAATTAACTCAACCTTGTCCCAAAGTTGCCACACGAAGTTGGCCCAACGTTGCATGTTTACTGGGCGTTTCCTGATCTCCGAGACGTTCTGTGCCCACAGTCTACGACAGGGACGCGTGCAAGTGCGTGCCAGCGCGCCGCAAGAAGAGGAGGCGCCAGCTGTGTCAAGACCACATGGGCCCCAAGGGTGAGTGTGTGGCACCGCGACAGGTGCCAAGCCAGCCGTGGCACGCAGCACACCGCTCGGACACAACCGCAGAACACTGCTGCGGACAGAGCCGCAAAAAGCAGAGCCACAGAACACCACTCGGACAGAGCCGGAGCACACTGCTGCGGACAAAGCCGGAGAAGGCAAAACCACAGAACATCACGTGGAAAAAACCGCAGAACATCACGTGGACAAAAGCACAGAACATCACGTGGACAGAACCACAGAAGTCAGAACCACAGAACACCACACGGACAGAGGCGGAGAACAGCACACGGACAGAGGCGAAGAACAGCACACGGACAGAGGCGAAGAACAGCACACGGACAGAGGCGAAGAACAGCACACGGACAGAGGCGGAGAACAGCACACGGACAGAACCACAGAACTCCACACGGACAGAACCACAGAACACCACACGGACAGAACCACAGAACACCACACGGACAGAGGCGGAGAACAGCACACGGACAGATCAACAGAACAGCACACGGATAGAACCACAGAACACCACACGGACAGAACCACAGAACACCACACGGACAGAGCCACAGAACACCACACGGACAGAACCACAGAACAGCACACGGACAGAGCCACAGAACAGCACACGGACAGAACCACAAAACAGCACAGGGACAGAACCACAGAACAGCACACGGACAGAGCCACAGAACACCACACGGACAGAGCCACAGAACACCACACGGACAGAACCACAGAACAGCACACGGACAGAGCCACAGAACAGCACACGGACAGAACCACAGAACAGCACACGGACAGAACCACAGAACACCACACGGACAGAACCGCAGAACACCACACGGACAGAACCGCAGCACACGGCTGCGGACAGAGCAAATGCCTTGGAGGATTCCCCGTCGGGCATGGCCCATGAGCCGCTCTCAAAGCGCGCGGTGTGAACGTCTCTCGCGCCCCCTGCCGGGCCGTAGCGGAGTCGGCGTGGCGCGGAGAGAAATTCGGTGTTTGAAGTTTTCGTTACCGCAAGGATTCATGCTCTTTGGTTTTTTCGGTAAAGTCGCGTAGGTAAAAAATGAAATGAATGAAAACAACTCAATTAAATCGCAGTTGTTTAGTTGTTTTCATTTGTTTTATTTTTTTACCTACGTGACTTTACCGAAAAAAAACAAAGAGTAGAAATTCGGTACCCAAGTGGTGGGTTGGCAAACGCGGAGCGGCGGATAAGGGGCCATCCCTTTAGTACGTACACATGGAAGGGGGTTAACCCAGATGCGTACGCTTGCGTATGGGGGGTCTATTGACAATGTACGTACGCATAGGAAACGGGGGGGGGGGGTGAAGCCTCGATAATAATTTGTCTACATTGTCCTTCAAATGAGTTAGATAGTCCGGCGGTGGACTATCTGTTTGCTTAAACACGTTAATATTATTAATCCTTGATCGTTTCTGCGTGGATTAAATATCGGCCGTTCTATAGAATTCGGGGGAGGGGGGGGTGTACAAAGTTCGCGTGCGTACAGGGAGGGGGGAGGGATCAAGTTGTTGACACATTTGTGCGTACCTACTCAATGGATGGCCCCTAACCGCGCCATGGGGTATACACGGGGTCCTCCCGGGGTGAGGAACCTGTGGCTTTTCGGAGTCGCGATGTGGCTCTGGAAGGACCGCCGCTTCGTGACGCGTTGTTCTCATGAATGGGCAACGGCGTCACGTGTTCACCGCGTGCAACGCGCGGCGTTGCAGAAATGTGGAGTTGTTTTTTGTCGTTCGTTTACCCAATTCGACCAAACAAATGTCTCTTCTTGTTACGATTGGTTGCGTGGCGAATGTAAGCCGACGACGATGATGTTGTGAACCACTGGGTTAGGTGACGCTGGTGGTGGTGGTGGTGATTGGCGATGACCCAGATGTACGCACGCCAGACACACACACACAGTGAGAGAGTGAGATGGAGAGAACGATGGAGGCCTTTCTGGATAGGGAAATTGTGGCATTGAGAGGTATTAATTGATTGATTTGATGTGCTCAGCATGATCATTTATTTACTTACTTATTTAGATATGTACGTGTGCGTTGAACTTCTGCGCGTGTCTGTGTGTGTGTCTGCGGTAGTGTAGCGGTTAGCACGCTGCGCTATGAACCCGGCGACCCGAGTTCGATTCCCGCTCACGGCCAACACCAGTGACGATTATCTGAACCGGTCCCGGGCCTCCCCTAGGTCGACTCAGCCTCAAATGAGTACCTGGTGCGGTGTGTAAACATTGCCACTAGGGAGATAAAGGCGGTCGGGCGTGGTGCTGGCCACCCACCCCCCTCGTGTACCGTTCCGGACTTCATAGGTGCTCGCTAACAGCACTTGCCCCTACAGTCTGTTAAGGCTATACGGGGGATCTTTATCTTTGTGTGTGTCTGCGTGTGTCTCGGTCTCCCTGCAGGTGTCAGGAGGAGATGAGGCCCGTGGCGACCGGCGTGGCCACCGCTACAGAGACCCCCACCCCCCTCCCCGCCTCCTGCCCAGTTAATTGTATTATTGCAATATATATGAATAATATGTTTCACACTTTGAATTGTATTGCTACTATTAATATGAATGATGACGATGAAGACGACGATGAAGACGACGATGATGCCGTCACTGGCGATGGTATTGCTTTGGAACACGACGATGTGCGACGCTGAAGCGATTTTAACGGGCGGCGCGGTTTTTGTCGAGTGATGCGGCGAGTCAGCCTGGAGAGAGGTGTGGGATTGAGTGGGATTGTGATTGAGTGGGATTGAGTGGGATTGAATAGGATTGTGATGGTGTGGAATTGAGTGGGATTGCGTAGGATTGTGATGGTGTGTGGGATTGAGTGTGATGGGGAAGTACGGTGTGACATCGCGTGATATGGTGCTGAAATGTCGTGAAATGGGACCTCGGCGCATCTCAACTCCATCAGTCTGGGGTCTCATCTTTCACGCACCCACGAACGGGGACGGGCCTTTGACGGCAAATGAGCAGAACACTCACGGATAATGACGTAAAACAAATTTTGACCACATTTTTAAATTATTATATTACGTTTCGTGTTGTTGGAGTGTTCGAAATGTTCACGTGCATGCGTGTGTATGTGTCATCACCTAGGTCGACTCAGCTTTAACTGGTGCGGTGTGTGTAAGCATCAGCACTGGGGAGACAAAGGTGGTCGGGCGTGGTGCTGGCCACCCACCCCTTCATAGGTACGCCGTTTCAGCCTTCATAGGCGCTCGCTCACAGTACTTGCCCTTAACGGCCCTTTGTTTAAAGGCTAAAATGAGGATCTTTGTCTTTGTCAAGGTGATGACTTATAAAGATCCCCCATATATCCTTCACATGCTGTCGGGGCAAGTGCTTTTAGCGAGTAGCACCTACGAAGGCCGGCACACGAGGTTGTGGGTGGCCAGCACCACGCCCGACCGCCTTTGTCTCCTCCCCATCGGCGATGTTTAACTCCACACCGCTACACCACGTAACCCATTTGAGGCTGAGTCGACCTAGGCGAGGCCCAGGACCGGTTCACATAATCGTCACCAGTGTTGGCGGCCGTGAGCGGGAATCGGTCTCGGGCTGCCGGGTTCGTAGCGCAGCGCTAACCACCGCTCTCCATGACACGTGTGTGTATACACACACACGCGTGTATACACACACGCGTGTATACACACACACGCGTGTGCACGCACGCACACACACGCACACGTGGTTTGCGTGGTGAAGCGGTCGGACGTTTTGAGAATCCGGGAACGCTATGTTTGTACCTCGGTGAGAGCCCCGTGAGACGACGCCTATCCATCCTCCTTATCATGCAATACTCTTTCATTACCCTTCTAATAATATTGTTTTTGTATATTTCAATGTAGTCGCTGTTTTAACGTTATTACTATGTTACCGTATATTAGCACGTAATTGATGTGTTTTAAGGTTTTGGCGTTAAACGAGCCGGGTATCTTTTGGTGCTACGTGTTTTCGATATACCCCGTTCTCAAACACTTTCTTGGCCGTACATCACGCCTGCGCGCGTGGGTGTGCGTGCGTGTGTACATGTGTGTGTGTGCATATGCGTACGTTTATGTATGCGTGCGCGTGGCTTTGTGTGTGCATACGTTTGTGTATATGGGGGGAACGGTGGCGGAGCGGTTAGCGTGCCGCATTATACTAACCCGCCGTTTCCCGATCTGAACTGGTTCCGGGGCCTCCCCTGGGTCGACTCGGCCTTAAATGAGTACAGTAAGTACCTGGTGCGGTGTGTTTGTGTGTAAACAGCAGCACTGGGGAGACAAAGGCGGCCGGACATGGTGCTCGCCACACCACCCCGCTCATAGGTGCGCTCGCTAACGGCACTTGCCCCAACTCTCCGAAGAGGCTATACCATGAGGAATCTTTGTCTTTGTGTACATGCGTATGTATGTGCGTGTGTGGGGGAGCGGTGGTGTAGTGGTTAGCGCGCTGCGCTACGAACTCGACGACTCCGGTTCGATTCCCGCTCACGGCCACCACTGGTGACGATTATCTGAACCGGTCCTGGGCCTCCCCTAGGTCGACTCGGCCACAAATTAGTACCTGGCGTGGTGTGTAAACATCGCCACTGGGAAGACAAAGGCGGCCGGGCGTGGTGCTGGCCACCCACCCCCCTCGTGTACCGTGCCGGCCTTCACAGGTGCTCGCTAACAGCACTTGCCCCAACAGTCTGCCAAGGCCGTACGGGGGATCTTTGTCTTTGTTTGGACACATTCTTTACCCGTCCCCATTCTCCCCGGCGACTTCGTCACGACGCGCTACCAAGACACGTGACTCGTGCTGCTCAACGTCCCCACCGCAATCTTGCGACGCGATGGTATTTAACCCCCCCCCCCCCCACGTGCGTGACGACGATCGTACATTAACAGAGTCAATCCGCCGATAACGCAAATATCCTCGTTTTTTGGAATCTTAAACGGTGCCGCCGCGTCCCGTCGTGCGCGCTTCTGGCCCCCCCGAGTCGAGCCCTCTTATTGCGTTCGTTCGCTCGCTCGCTCGCCGCGTCGAGCTTGTGCGCTTTCTTTTACTTTTTGCGTATCGTTCGTTGTTCTACACCCCCCCCTGCCCCCGGCACCATCCGATCAGCGCGGGTGGCTACGTACGGTGCGAAAGAAGTGCAACGTGCACGCGCGCGCAAGCACTTCGTGCGCGCGCGCGCGTGCAGAGGTCGTCCCAACTGCCCCGGTTGACATCCGGCGTTTTGCCGACGATCGCCAAGTTGGACGATACCCGCTAATGCACCGCCGCTCCAAACCACGGCGGCCACATCACCGTCGGCTTGCATTGTCGGCGGCTCGCCGCGAGACGAAGGAATGGTCGCAGTGGGCAGTGCACCACCCTGTGTCAGGGCGCGTCGTGGGCCCGCAAGAGGCGACGTCAACTGTAGAAGCCACTGCACTCGCTCCGATTGGTCTCATTTACTCGTTGATGCCACGGAGGGACAGATATGATCGTACACGTGGTGTTTGTTTAGTTTTTTGTTGTTGTTGTTGTCCAAACCGCGTCGCTTGCGTTGTGATCCTACCAACGAATTCGCAATGCCAGAGCCGAAATGATCCGAATTTTAAACGGACAGCCAAAAAATATAACCGCGATGCACGGGTGTTTTTTTTTTAAATATGCTGGTGCAGTCATTGGTAACTGGGCAGATACCACGCTTCAGAAGGCCCTTTTCGATCACAAATTGGGTCTAATACGTGAATATTTACGTCGACGGGAGATGTCGTTGACAAAGGGCAAATTAGTCTCCGTGCGGGGTCAGTGACTCTCTCCATAGTCGGACATTGGTCGCCCGGGCTAACACCGTAAACTGGACACATATCGAGGAAACCCGGCTTATACATCACGGGTGGAGCAATCCCCCAGATATCGAACTCATCATCTCGACAGTTCTCGGCTGGTGATCGAAACAACCCCAGTTTTACTTTAGAAAAGCCACATTGAGGCGGAGGATTATTATTTTTTTGCAGGAGGGTCCTGCTTTGAGACGTTTCGCCGACTTATACATCATCACTCGGGAGAAAAGTGGAGTAACCCGGATGGAAGCCTCCAGTCAACATCAGCAGGCGTCAGGGTCGGGATCGAACCCACGACCTTATGTATACCAGTGGCGAGATGTTGACTATCTCGCCTGGTATACAGGAGGTCGTGGGTTCGATCCCGACCCTGACGCCTGCTGCTGTATATTTGGGAGTTTGCGTCTCTCCCTCTCTCCCGTGGTCGCGTGGATTTTTCTCCGGGTCCTCCGAGTTTTCCCTCCACATCTAAAATCAACGTCACGCGTTTAGAGTATTTGGCTGCTATCCATGTCCATATCATTTGTGGTAGCCAGGTCGCTTCTGAAAAAAAGAGTTTTATATATATAGCTCGGTGGGCCTTACCGGGTAAAATTAAAAATAAAAAAACGTTTAGTTTTAATTTAACAAAACCCGAGAGGAGAACACACAAACTCCACACAAACAGAGCGCCTGAGTCCGGAATCCACAGTCAGGGCCCTGCCTTACCAACAACAACTGCACCGTTAATAAGTATAACCAGTAAAAACAAAGTTTTTCACTATAAATCCTTTATATGCGTGGCGGCAAAGTCCTCTCGTCCTCTGGCTTGAGATGGCTGCCACCTATGGGTCAGATGATTGCATTGCACCATTAAGCAATTGGTAATTAAATATTATATTTTTGTCCTAAAAAATTGTCACGCACAAAGAGTCTGTGTGGAAAATGTCAGCTCGATTGGATCACGGGAAGTGGGTTAAAAAACGACCGAAAAATTTTCACGGTCCTAAGCAAGCAAGCGAACTTAATATAAAGGATTTAAAAACCACCACCACCGCCACCACCATTGCCGCTGCGTCTCTGCCAATCTTTGCCGATCGTCGTTGTAGGCGAACGCGGCCAGGGTTTCGATCTCGCCAACTGCTGTTGGCACGGCGGTGATGGTGGTGGCGGTGGTGGCGGCGATGGTGGTGGTGGCTGCGGTGGTGGTGGCGGTGGTGGTGGTGGCTGCGGTGACGGCCGTCGTGGCGACATCAGGGGGAGAAGGAGGGGAGGGAGGAGGGGGTGGGTGGGGGTCGCGTTTAATCTCAAGACTTGACGCGGGGTTCGTGGCGCCGTTCGCGCGATTCCGTGGGGAGCCTCGAACGATATTCGCACGCGCGCATTTTCGCGTCGCCTTTTGGAGCGAAGTCGTCGCTTTAACGCGCCGCCGTCCCATGACTGCCAACTCCTCGTGGTAAACGTTTGGCACTTACCAAGTCGGCGAAGAAGATGACGACGACGAGGATGATGATGATGCTGATGGATTTGTTTTCCAGCCTGCTTAACTCATGACCCTTCATCGTGGTCGGCTGATGATGATGGCGCATGGACTGCAAGGGTTAAGAAAGATGATGATGATCATCATGATTGATGATGATAACGACGAGACAGCGTCAAGATCTACTCGTGGTGATCCTCATGGACAGTTGTGTTTTTTTGTTGTTGTTATCGTGGCCAGCTGATGATGGACTGCAAGGGTGATGTTGAACCTGGAAAAAGCCCCCGATATTTCTGCCAAGATGAGCACATTGTTGCGTGCAACCCAGGCGGGACATCGGGAATGTGCCGGGAAGAGACACTCAACGCGAAGAGCTTGCATCACGCACGCAGAGACACGGAGACGGGACACGGAGACAGACCCACGTGCGCGGAGCGTGGCGTGCAGATGAAGACGCGCACAGAGACTCTCTCCAGCCTACGGCCTCTGTGATCGAGAACGTTTGAAGGACAGCTGCTGCTGGCATTTGTTGGATTTTAGTTGTCGTTTGCTTTCGTTGCTGCGCGCGATATTTTTGTTTTGTTTATTTTTTGTGTTTGTTTATAATAACCTTTGACGAGTTACTTTTTGTTGTTGTTCAGTTCGTATTTTCACTTGGTCCGTTTCGCCCGTGTAGCAAACAACACAACTATACAGTGTGTGTTTGTGCCATTTGCGTTGTCTCCGTTGGGGGCCCTCTCGCCTGGGTTAAATAAAAAGGAGCTGAACTGAGATGATGGCTTTGTGTAAGTCTCCCTACTTCCCCCTTCCCCCTCCCCCCTTCCCTCCCCCCTCCCCCCTTCCCTCCCCCCTCCCTCCTCCTCCCCCCTCCCTCCTCGTCCCCCCTCCCCTCCCTCCTCCCCCCTCCCTCCTTACCCCTCACTCCGCGATTGTGAGATGCGATTTGCATGATCTACGCAAATACAGCGTGCTTCAAAACAATGTTAACACTTATATGGGACTATCGTTTTTTAATGTAAAAACAACGGATACTAATACACTGCAACATTACAATAAATGTACGTTAATAGCTTCAAAAGTTCAAAGTGTCTCCACTTGTTCGCCATCGTTGTCAACGCATTGCCTGGAATCTTCTCCAGGTGGTTTCCAGAGCTCGGGAGGCACATTTCTTGTGGTGTTGTTGCAAATTCTCAGAAGTGTTAACATTTTTGTGAAGCACCCTGTTTAATCATATTTAGATTCTATTTTTGTAGTAGCGAGTGTTGCTGCTGCTGCTGCGATGCCATGGTGAGCACACTGCACTTTGCAACGCAGATATGGTCGGTTCGATCTCCCGGAATGGCAGTGCAGTTCCTTAATTCCCCAACATCACCACCACATCGGAAAACTCCACCAAACACAAACGCACTAAACCCACCCTCCCTCCCCCCGTTACTGTTCCCACACCTACAATGTTAAGCAACGTTTTTTTAGTGTTTTACGACTGTTTTTTATTATTATTATTACCGCTACGATTATTATTAGTATTACATTCAAACTATAGGGCTCTAGGCCTTTTTTTTTCTTCCGGAATTGCCCCCGCGTTTACGCCGCCGCTTAAATGTCACTCGTTTATGGGCCATGAAATTACCGCCCCTAATATCGAGGGAAGTGTGGTCTTGCGCCGTGTTTACCACCTCCACCCCCCATCATCCACAGCCCCCCTCGCCCCGTTCTCCCCTCCATCCACCAACACCTCGCCGCGTGGGTGCAGTTTCGCTGTTGTCGAAGTCCACGCCTTCTGTAATCAACGCGGCTAGGCTCTTAACATTGCTTTGCTTCGGTCAGGGTTGGCTGCCCGGCCAAATTACATCACGGACCGAATGGGGGGGGGGGGGGGGTAGCGGTGGGGGGGGTAGGGAAAGGACCGTGAGAAAAATATAAACAGGGGGGCGGGAGGGAGGGGGGCTCCACCTATTTCTCTTTGGCACAACCGCTCTGGGCGGTTTACATTTACATTGGATAATCGCCATGCGCTCAAATGTCACGATGCCTGCCCGCCCGCCCCACACCGAGACGCAATTACGTGCCCCCCCCCTCCCCACCGCCCCCCACGTTCTCCTCCTTGCCCCCTTCCGACTCCCCCCCCCCCTTCTCCTCCCACACCTCCTCTCGAATGTTCGCGTAGACGAGCGCGCGGCATCGCAAAGAGAGGCACGCGGACGCGCGCGTTCGCTGCGTGCGGGTGGCTCAAACGACGGGGAGTGTGGGGGTGTGTGGGGTGTAAGGGTGTGTGGGGTGTGTGGGGGTGCAGGGGGGTGGGGGTGTGTGGGCTGTGGGGGTGTGTGGGGGGTGTGTGGGGGGTGTGTGGGGTGTAAGGGTGTGTGGGGGGTGTGTGGGGGTGTGTGGGGTGTGGGGGTGTGTGGTGGGGGGGGGGTGTGTGGTGTGTGGGAGTGTATGGGGTGTGGGGGTGTGGTTGTGTGGGTGTGAGGGGTGTGGGAGTGTGTGTAGGGGTGTGTGGGGGGTATGGGGTGTGGTGTGTGTGTAGGATCTTCACCTGTGCTCGTTACGGAACGGTGACGTCAGTGGCTTTGCGCGCAGCTGCAGCGGCAAGGAATCCAGAATTCGAGTTTCGCTTTGCGGCGTTCAGCCGATGACGAATATCCCGAACCGGGTTGCCCCGTGCCTCGCCTCGGTCGAATTCAGACGTCCGCTGAACGAACACCCCCGGGCGAGTAAGAACTGAAGTCGAACCCAGGTTATCAAGGGGTGGGCCGGTCAGCTTAGCGTGCGCCGGGCGTTCAGGCGTGTGGAGTTTGGTGTCTCGGCGCAGTTGACGAATGAACGCACAGCGATCGCGTTATTTGAACGTTTTCTTTATTACTGAAAGTACCGTAGTCCAGCTAAATCGAGTAAACACGTAACAAGTACCGACGCTAACGAAGAGGTTGTAAATCGTTGCTTAGATTAGTGTTTAGCAGTGTATGAGTTTGTTTTTGTTGTTTAACAATTGTGCTATCTAGCTCGCGAAAGTTGACAATATAGAGCTACCTCCGAACATCCATTAAAGTGAGCCGTCGTTCACGCAGTAGCGGGCAGCACTTTTAAAATACCGTACATGCATATACGTGTTGGTCAGCCACTCGGAGTACGGCGTGACACCACCATCCACCGCTTGAGGAACTGCCGATTGATTTTTGTAAAAGCGACGAGGCTAATGCCAACAACATTTGTGAAATCTGCAAAATGACAAGAGACACCCATCGGCATCAGAACAGAATAATAGTGCAGGCGGGCTGGAGAAAGAAAAAAAAACACGAGGATAAAACAACATCAACAACAACAGACACGCAGAAACGGCGAGGAGAAGCATTTGCGATATTAAATTTCTGTTGTTGGATTTGTTTTCGAATCAGCCAAGCCAATGAGCCCCATCGAGTGGATACGGGGGACATCACACAGTGTAAAGTTGTGGCCCAAAATTCAGGGCACATCGGGTTATTTCGCTGATACTCTTTGGTTGTTTCGGTAAAGTCACGTAGGTAAAAAATGAAAATAAAATAAATGAAAACAACTAAATTAAATCACGATGTTTTGAGCGCAACACAAGCGTCCTGGAGAAGATACCTACGTGACTTTACCGAAAAAAAACAGAGTATGAATCCTTGCAGTCACGAAAGCTTCAAATCTAGGATATTTCGCTGATATTAACACTGGCATTAAAACATTTTAATTGTTTATTCCCAAGGTTAATATTTTAAGTATGATCATTAATAATATCGGGGTTTCTTCTTCTTAGTTTTGAGATGACATTTAAAAATTTGTAATAAAATTCACGAAGAATGTGTGCCGCACAACCCTCCTTCATCTCACGCAGCCATTCCACACATCTGTCACGTGAAACAAACGCGCCGAATGTATCACTGCTTCAGCAACAAAAGACAAATACAAAGATCACCCGTAAAGTCTTAACATACCGTAGGGGCAAGTGCTGCCAGCGAGAACCACCTATGACGGCCTGCACGGCACACGAGGGGGTGGGTGGCCAGCGCCGCGGCTGGCCGCACTTGTCTCCCCAGTGGCGATGTTTACACATCGCACCAGGTACTCATTTGAGGCTGAGTCGACCTAGGGTATGGCCAGCACCGGCTCGGGATAATCGTCACCGGTGTTGGCCGTGAGCGGCAATCGAACCCGGCTCGCCGGGGTTCGGAGCGCAGCGCGCTAACCGCTACACCACCGCACCACCACCACCCCACCACCACCACCGCACCAGAACCACCACCACCGCACCACCACCACCGCACCACCACCACACCACCAGCACCACCACCACCGCCCCACCACCACCACCGGACCACCACCATCACCACCGCCACACCACCACCGCACCACCGCCGCACCAGCACCACCACCACCGCACCAGCGCACTACCACCCCACCACCACCGCACCACCACCACATCAACACCACCGCACAACCACCACCGCACCACCGCACAACCACCACCGCACCACCACCGAACTACCACCACCGAACCACCACCGAACCACCACCACCGCACCACCACTACACCAACACCACCGCACCAGAACCACCACCACCGCACCACCACCACACCACCACCGGAAGTGATAGGGAAGGAGGGAGGGGGGTTGATAGGATGTGATAGAGAGGGGGAGATTGACAGGGGGGAGGGAGCGATAGCTGGGGGAGTGTAAGTGATCATTATTATCGCCGTGGCTTAATGGTCACCACGCGGTGTCGTGGTGGCCGACCACGCTGGGTCCTGGGTGGCCGTACGAGAGGCCCGGCACGGGCCAGCCGGGCGCGCTCCACGTGACGGCAGCTGCTGGCGCTGAGAACCCTCGCTCCGCCAGGATGGACTCGATGCTGAACGAGATCCGAGCGCTTGTTGAGTTCGTCGTGCTCCTGCTGCTGATGCTGCTCGTGCTTGTGCTGCTGGTGGTGGCGGTGGTGGTGATATCGTCGTCGTTGTCGTCGTTGTTGATGATGGTGGTGGTGGTGGACGACCCACAATGGAGACCGTCTTTGTCCGTGAACACAATGGACGATGCAGGCAGCGCAGAAGAGTTGATGATGCCTGTCCCTTGCTGCTGCTGCTGATGATGGCTATGCTGGTGGTGATGGTGGTGATGATTTTGCTGTTGTTGTTGCTGCTGCTGATGATGATGATGAATTTGCTGTTCATGCTGCTGCTGATGATTATAATTGTGTTGTTCCTTTTGCCCTTGCTGCTGCTGGTCATGATAACTTTGCTGATGATGCTGCTGCTGCTGCTGATGGTGGTGGTAATTAATATGCTGCTGCTGATTAATTTGCGTCTGTTGATCTTGGTGTTGCTGCTGCGGATGACAATGCTGCTGCTGATGATGATTCTGCTGCTGATCGTGAGTCTGATGTTGCTGATGATTCTGATGATGATGATTGCCCTGTTGCTGCTGATGCTGTTTATGAAGTTGCTGACTGCTGTTCCCACGACGAAGCACCCTGCTGCTGTTCTGCTTCTGATGATGCTGTTGCTGATGATGCTGCTGCTGCCTCCTCCGCCTACGAAAGTTCCCATTCTCAAACAGTTCGAACATGTTTTCACATCCTGCAGAAAATGTCCAAAAATTCCCTTTGCCCTGGCCGCTTCCTCCTGGCCTTGGCACCTGTGAAGACAACGACAAAGGTCCCCCGGATAGCCTTCACGGAGCGTTGGGGGCAAGTGCTGCGAGTAGAATCCAAAGTTTATTATCCGAGTAAAATTGCCCATTTGAGCCGTGACAACTCCGTTTTGAAGGGTGACTCGGCCAACAGACAGACGCGGCAGCGAGGAGTTAATAAACTAAATATTTTTTTAAAAAAAACTATATAAAGTTGAATTAAACCAAATGATCTTGGTTGTTGGGGCACCCGGTAAGGATAGAACTCTACCGGGCAGCCCAGGACCACGCTGCTGCTGCTGCTGGCGGTGGGACGACGTCGCTCGATTGGCCTGGACACGCCTGGGAATTCCCCAAGGAAGAGCTAGAGGCTGTGTAGAGTAGTGTATAGTGTAGTGTATAGTGTATAGTAGTGTATAGTGTCGTAGTAGTGTATGCGTAATAATAGTGTATAGTGTGTAGTAGTGTATAGTGTAGTGTAGAAGTGTGTAGTGTATGTGGTATAGTAGTGTATAGTAGTGTATAGTATAATAGTAGTGTATAGTGTAGTAGTAGTGTATAGTGGTGTATAATGTATAGTGTAGTGTATAGTGTATAGTAGTGTGTAGTAGTAGTGTAGAAGTGTAGTTATAGTGTGTAGTGTAGTAGTAGTGTATAATGTATAGTAGTGTAGTCGTAGTGTACAGTGTAGTAATAGTGTATAGTAGTGTGTAGTATAGTGTAGTGTGTAGTGTAGTCGTAGTGTATAATAGTAATGTAGTTCTAGAGTCTATCGCTAGGAGAAAGAGGGGTGTAGACCGCCACTGCCCAACAGGCTGCTATCACTGCTACCTTCACCAGGACAAGCGGACCGAGAGACCGAGCGAGCGAGCGACCTCACAAAACAAGCAGGTACACTGACACGTGCGTCGTTTCGAGCCTCCACCAACCGATTCCTCCTTAACGGAGTCACGGCGATGGCAGAGGCGGTGATCCCAAGAGAAGAGGCGTCGACCGGTCGTTTTACAACGCTGTCGAACCGAGTGTGTGTTGCGTTCGGCATCTCGGTAGTCGTGACAAGAGACAAACAAGCAACAGAATCAGCCGCGCGTCGCCGATTGTCTGGGATGTTGTTGTTTGTAACGAGCGATCATTGGGCAATTGCCGTGTAAACATGGGCATGCCGTCGGCCGCCGCGAGCCTCGCCAGGGACGAGCGGATTTGAGAAACGAACGAACCAGGGAAGGAACGCGGCTCAATGTTTGGCCAGTCGCGGGTTGAGGGGGTAGGTGGAGATGGGATGGGATCAGTGCCGGATGATGCCAGTAGCACTAGGAGCTGCATATGTAGTAGCTACTTGTGCCGGATGATCCCAGTAGCACAAGTAGCTACACATGTAGTAGCTACGGGCCCCGCACTTTCAAGGACCCCGCGCTCAATGCTTTCAAGCTATCAATTCCGGTTCAGTGATTCTGCACTTGCTCTATTACTATAGTACTATACCGCCTTCAACTTTTACGAACGACCGGGTGTTTAAGGTTAGCGATTTGTCGTATTATCTGGCTCTATAGCAAATGAAAAAATACCATTACTTTGACTTAAAGCTTTCGTGACTGCAGAAATTAATATTTTTTAAAAATGTTTTTCTATCTACTATGGCTTTACCGAAAGACCCTCAAAGAATAAATGACTTTACTATACAAGTAATTTTTTACGTGTTTTAATATTTACGTGTTTTTTTATATTCTTGAATCTTTCGGTAAAGTCACGTAGAAGGGCAATCATAAAATAATAAAAATAAAACAATCAAATTCTCACGACGTTTCGGCCACAACACAAGCAGGTGACCTTACCGAAAGATCCAAGAATATGAATCCGTGCAGTCACGAAAGCTTTAAATCGAAATTTACGTGTTTTTTGTTATTTAATTTAAATTTAGGGGGGCGGGGGGGGGCCTTCATAACAACATATGCTACGGGGCCCCGCAACCGGATTTGTCCGTCAACTGTATGGGCTGATTCTTAGGTATTATCGGTAAAGTCACGTAGGTAAAAAAAATTAAATTTAAATTAATAAAAGTAAAATAATAAAATAAAAATCACGACGGCTCATTTACTTGATACAGCTATCGTGCTGTGACGGTTCCACCTGAAGCTTGTGTTGCTTCCGAAACGTCGTGATTTTTATTTTATGTTATTATTTTTTATTTTACTTTTATTAATTTTAATTTTTTTTACCTACGTGACTTTACCGAAACAAACCTAAGAATTAATCCTTGCAGTCACGAAAGCTTCAAATCTAGAATGGATGGGGCTGCACGGGTGCGCGTGGCACGGGTGCGCGTGGCACGGGTGCGCGTGGCACGGGTGCGCGTGGCACGGGTGCGCGTGGCACGGGTGCGCGTGGCACGGGCGCGCGTGGCACGGACTCGCCTTGCGGAAGCAGCTGTTGAGGGAGAGATTGTGTCGCACCGAGTTCTGCCACGCCTGCTGGCGGCACGCGGTGCCAGAGCGGTAGAAGGGGAAGCTGCAGCGGATGAAGTCGTAAATGTCGGCGAGAGTGAGACGACGCTCTGGGCTCTGCCGGATCGCCATGGCGATCAGAGCAACGTAGCTGCGTTTCGGGGGGAGGGGGGGGTGCACAGAGAATCAGAATCATCCGAATATCCTTTGAGCTGTGAAGCTTTTGATTTGCACAGATGTCCAGCTGGGGACCGGTGAGAGAGAGAGAGAGAGACGGCGATACAAGCGAGCCACAAGGTGGAAGAGTTTAGGGGTTGATGCACAGAGAATCGGAATCATCAACATATTTATGCTGGAGGAAATCCGATGAGCTATAAAGCTTTTGATTTGCACAGATGTCCAGCTGGGACCGGTGAGAGAGAGAGAGAGACGGCGATACAAGCGAGCCACAAGGTGGAAGAGTTTAGGGGTTGATGCACAGAGAATCGGAATCATCAACATATTTATGCTGGAGGAAATCCGATGAGCTATAAAGCTTTTGATTTGCACAGATGTCCAGCTGGGGACCGGTGAGAGAGAGAGAGAGAGAGACGGCGATACAAGCGAGCCACAAGGTGGAAGAGTTTAGGGGTTGATGCACAGAGAATCGGAATCATCAACATATTTATGCTGGAGGAAATCCGATGAGCTATAAAGCTTTTGATTTGCACAGATGTCCAGCTGGGGACCGGTGAGAGAGAGAGAGACGGCGATACAAGCGAGCCACAAGGTGGAAGAGTTTAGGGGTTGATGCACAGAGAATCGGAATCATCAACATATTTATGCTGGAGGAAATCCGATGACATATAAAGCTCTTGTTTTTTGTTACAGATGTTCAGTAAGGGGCAGGTGAGAGAGAGAGAGAGACGGCGAGATAAAGCGAGCCACAAGGTGGAAGAGTTTAGGGGTTGATGCACAGAGAATCGGAATCATCAACATATTTATGCTGGAGGAAATCCGATGATCTATAAAGCTCTTGTTTTTTGTTACAGATGTTCAGTAAGGGGCAGGTGAGAGAGAGAGAGAGACGGCGAGAAAAAGCGAGCCACAAGGTGGAAGAGTTTAGGGGTTGATGCACAGAGAATCGGAATCATCAACATATTTATGCTGGAGGAAATCCGATGATCTATAAAGCTCTTGTTTTTTGTTACAGATGTTCAGTAAGGGGCAGGTGAGAGAGAGAGAGAGAGACGGCGAGAAAAAGCGAGCCACAAGGTGGAAGAGTTTAACAGGTAGCAGGGCCTTCGCGACCAATATGATCTATAACGGAGATGTTTGGAGTTAGATCGCGTAAATATAAATGCGTCGTTAAACCCGCCACCACCCGACACAGCCAATTGCTAAGGTTTGTCACGTAAACAAGAACGTGCCAATTAGTGACTAGTCCGCTGGTGATTACGAAGGTGGAAGAGGTGAGTGGATTGGTGGAGCACGAAGGGAATTGTGGAAATCTTCTTGGTTCTTTCGGTAAAGTCACGTAGAAGGGAAGTAATAAAACAATAAAAATAAAACAAAATAAAATAATTCTCACGACGTTTCGGCTACAACGCAAGCAGCCGTCTTCAGGTGAAGAATGAGACACTGCCAAGCTAGGAGCTTATATATATAAAAGTTCCTAGGTTATATATATATAAGCTCCTAGGTGAAGAATGAGACACTGCCAAGCTAGGAGCTTATATATATATAAGCTCATTCTTCACCTGAAGACGGCGTGAGAATTATTTTATTTTATTATGTTTTATTTTTATTGTTTTATTACTTCCCTTCTACGTGACTTTACCGAAAGAACCAAGAAGATGAATCCCTGCAGTCACGAAAGCTTTAAATCGAAATGTATTTTATTATGTTTCATTTGTATTATTTTATTATTTCCCTTCTACGTGACTTTACCGAAAGAACCAAGAAGATGAATCCCTGCAGTCACGAAAGCTTTACATCGAAAAATTGTGGAAATCTTATGGAACACACGCGGAGGGGCGGGCGAGAGGTGACGCATTGAACGCCGCGAGAGACGATCTAGGAGGGGTTGCTGGGTCACGGACAGATTCGTGAAAAACTTCAGAATCCCGCACCTAGACATGTTAAAACCAATCACCATTCATCACGATCATCATCACCGTCACCATCATCATCACCATCATCACCGTCATCATCATCATCATCATCACGATCTACACCATCATCACGATCATCACGATCATCATCACGACCCTCTCACCATCACCATCATCACGATCATCACCATCATCACCATCATCATCATAATCCTCACCATCATCATCATAATCCTCACCATCATCACGACCCTCTCACCATCACCATCATCACGATCATCACCATCATCATCACCATCATCATAATCCTCACCATCATCACCGTCATCATGATCATCACGATCCTCACCATCCTCACCATCATCACCATCATCATCACCATCATCACCATCATCACCATCATCACCATCATCATCACCATCATCACCGTCATCATCATCATCACGATCTACACCATCATCACGATCATCACGATCATCATCACGACCCTCTCACCATCACCATCATCACGATCATCACCATCATCACCATCATCATCATAATCCTCACCATCATCACGACCCTCTCACCATCACCATCATCACGATCATCACCATCATCATCATCATCACCACCATCATCATAATCCTCACCATCATCACCGTCATCATGATCATCACGATCCTCACCATCCTCACCATCATCACCATCATCATCACCATCATCACCATCATCATCATAATTCTCACCATCATCACCGTCATCATCATCATCATCACGATCTACACCATCATCACGATCATCACGATCATCATCACGACCCTCTCACCATCACCATCATCACGATCATCATCATCATCACCATCATCATAATCCTCACCATCATCACCGTCATCATGATCATCACGATCTTCACCATCCTCATCATCATCACCATCATCATCACCATCATCACCATCATCATCATAATCCTCACCATAATCACCGTCATCATCATCATCACGATCTACACCATCATCACGATCCTCTCACCATCACCACCACGATCTACACCATCATCACGATCATCACCATCATCACGATCCTCTCACCATCACCACCACGATCTACACCATCATCACGATCCTCTCACCATCATCACGATCATCACGATCATCACCATCATCACGATCATCACGATCCTCACCATCATCACGATCTACACCATCATCACGATCATCACCATCATCACGATCATCACCATCATCATCATGATCGAGCGACACCTGCCTCTGTCCCGTGACCCTCATCCAATGAGCCTTCCCACACATCACGTGACCTCAAAGTGCCCCTAGCCTGGCACGAGAGTCATTGGGAGCGGTGGTGCAGCGGTTAGCGCGCCGCGCTACGAGCCCTGCGACCCGAGCTCCGATCTCGGCTAGCAGGCCCGCATCTGATCCGTTCCTGGGCCTCTCCCCTAGGTCGCCTCAGCCTCAAATAAGTATCCCGGTGCTGTGTGGAGCAAACGTCGCCACGGGGGAGACAAAGGCGACCGGGCGTAGTGCCGGCTAACCCCACCCCCTCCGTGTGCCGTGCCGGCCTTCATAGGTGCTGCTCGCTAACGGCACTTGCCACAACAGTCTGTTGAGGCTATAAGGGGGATATTTGTATCGTGTGGTGTATGTATGCATGCGCATGTGAGTGTGCACGCACGGTTTGTGAGTTTTCTGTGTTGATGGTGATCGGACCTCACTCAATAGCTGCTCCGCTAGCAGCGTTTTCCCCAACAGTCTGCTGAAGGCTATACGGGGGACCTTTGCTTTTGTGTGTGCATGTACCTGTACGTACCTGCACGTATCTGTGTGTACTTGCACGTACCTGTATGGCGGTCTCGATCTTTTATCATCGCTGTCTTCCAGCCCATCATCGTCGTCGAAGTTGAAGCAGTTGTACGGGTACTGGGTGTGGTTGAACATCGTGGGGCGGCGATGATTGATTCGGAGGATCACGCTGCTGCTGCTGATGATGATTGTGATTGTGATGAAGCTTCATCAATTATTTAATGATGTGCTTAAGACAACATCCGTGACGAATGTGAATAAATACTCTGATGATGGTTGATTGTTATTTTGAAATGTAATGAATAGTACTGCAATGTGTAATGACGAGGAGCTACGTGCTATTGATAAATGATAACGATGAGGGTGATGATTATAATGAACTTCGTGATGGAAAATAACCAAAAGTTGTGATTATGACGATGACGACGATTTTTGATTATTATTTCCGTGACAATATTAACATGCTGCTGCTGCGTATTGCGACCTCACAAATAATGTTGGTGATGATGATGTTGTTGGTGATAACGATGGTAGTGGGGATGATGATGCTGATGATGATGTTGGTGATGATGTTGGTGATGATGTTGGTGATGATGATAATGATGACGTTGTTGGTGATGATGATGTTGGGGATGATGATGTTGGTGGCGATGATGATGTTGGTGTTGATAATGATGTTGGTGATAATGATGTTGATGATGATGATGTTGGTGGCGATGATGATGGCATTGATAAGAGCTCCGCCCAAAGCTGCTGCGACCATGAATGCCAAGGTAGATGATGACAACGATGGTGTTGGTGACGGTACTGCTGCTGATGATGATGATGTTGGTGGTGATGATGATGGTGGTGGTTGGTTGCAGATGCTGTGTGGGATGAACGGGCAGGGGCGGGATGATCACACGTGTGGCCCTGGAGTTACGGAGTGAGCGCAGAGCGTCGCGCGGGGTTTATATCGAGGGGAGCGAATCCCTCCACCCCCCCTCCAACCCCCCCCCCTCCAACCCCCCTCCACCCCCCCTCCACAAGCCAACAAAGACAAAGCTCCCCCCGTATAGCCTGACATAGCTGTTGGGGCAAGTGCTGTTAGAGAGCACCTATGGTGTTTGAATGGCAACATCCGTGACGCACGCGGGAACTGGTCCCCGCATATCCCGTAGGTCGACTCAGCCTTAAATCATTTACCTGTTTGTGCTGTGTAATCAAACGCGCACGCACACACACACAAAAAAGGGTCGACATTGGGGGAGACAAAGGCGGTCGGGAGTGGTGCTGGCCACCCACCTCACCTCGTAGCGTCCCGTAGGCCTTCGTTGACGTTTTACGCAAACCGCATCAAGTAATGATTGTTTCGGCTGAGTCGACCTAGGGTTAGGCCACAGCACAGGTGCAGAGATTCGTCATCGACGTTGGCCGTGAGCGCTCCCCTCACACGTGAACACACAAAGACAAAGATGCCCCGTATAGCCTTAACAGACTGTAGGGGCAAGTGCTGTTAGCGAGCACCTATGAAGGCCGGAACGGTACACGAGGGGTGGGTGGCCAGCACCACGCCCGATCGCCTTTGTCTCCCCAGTGGCGATGTTTACACACAGCACCAGGTACTCATTTGAGGCTCAGTCGACCTAGGGGAGGCCCAGGCCCGGTTCAGATAATCGTCACTGGTGTTGGCCGTGAGCGGGAATCGAACCCGGGTGGCCAGGTTCGTAGCGCAGCGTAGCGCTAACCGCTACACCACCGCTCCCCGCACGGGAACACACGTACACACGAAGACAGACACACACACACACTTTGACGCGCACACGCCTTCACATATTTAATATATAACCATGTCATGCATGCATGCACACACGCACACACACGCGCGCACACACACGCGCGTAAACGCACGGATACATACGCGTGTAGTAAAATATATTAACAGAGACAAAGACAAAGATCCCCCGTGTAGTCTTCACAGACTGTAGGGGCAAGCGCTGTTAGCGAGCACCTTTGAAGGCGGACACGGCACACGAGGGGGTGGGTGACCAACACCACGCCCGGCCGCCTTTGTCTCCCCAGTGGCGATGTCTACACACCGCACCAGGTACTCATTTGAGGCTGAGTCGATCTCGGGGATGCCTAGCACCGTGAGCGGGAATCGAACCCCGTTTGGCCGGGTTCGGAGCGCAGCGCGCTAACCGCTACACCACCACTCCCCACCACACTCACAGTCTCACACGCACACACAGTCTCACACGCACACACAGTCTCACACACACACGCAGTCTCACACACACAGTGACACCAGCTCCCTTTCCCACAGTCCGGGCAATTCACGCACTCAGGGGAGCGAGGAGGAGAGACGACGATGAACGAGAATGTGTGTGTGTGTGAGACTGTGTGTGTGTGATACTGTGTGTGTGTGAGACTGTGTGTGTGTGAGAATGTGTGTGTGTGAGAATGTGTGTTGTGTGGGTGAGACTGTGTGTGTGCGAGACTGTGTGTGTGTGAGACTGTGTGTTGTGTGGGTGAGACTGTGTGTGTGCGAGACTGTGTGTGTGTCTGTGTGTGTGTGAGACTGTGTGTGTGTGTGAGACTGTGTGTGTGTGTGTGAGACTGTGTGTGTGTGAGAGACTGTGTGTGTGTGTGAGACTGTGTGTGTGTGGGACTGTGTGTGTGAGACTGTGTGTGTGTGGGACTGTGTGTGTGAGACTGTGTGTGTGTCTGTGTGTGTGTCTGTGTGTGTGTGTCTGTGTGTGTGTGGCTGTGTGTGTGTGTGTGACTGTGTGTGTGTGTGACCTCGTCGGGGATGTTTATGAAATGCGTTGGTTCGTTGGTGACGGCTGGTTGAGTTGATGTGCTGGCTGATGAATTGGTCAGCTGGTCAATCAATCGATTGATTCAGTTGGCTGTCTGTATGAGGCTGGCCCAATAATCACAGCGACGCTGGGGCAACGTCGACCAATGGTTGGAACCGTTGGGGATCAACGTTGACCCAACGTTCCATGGTTGCAGGGTTACCCTGGTCGGTGGGTTGATGGATTCCTCGGTGAGTTCATTATATTCCATCGAATGAGCGCAGACTGCACTGGTTTAGGACACGGTTCAGCGAGTTGTGGTGATGATTGACTGGATGGCGGGGTTTGGCAATTGGTTCCTTTGGTTGATTCGGGGGGTTATAAACATAACAACTGGGGGAGACAAAGGCGGCCGGGCGTGGTGTTGGCCACCCATCCGCTCGCGTGTGGTTCGGGCCTTCATATGGTGTGCTCGCTCGCTCACAGCACTTGCCCCAACAGCCTGTAGTGACTATACGGGGGATCTGTGTCTGTGTCTTTGTAGCTGTCCACGTGTTTGCGCGCGCACGCGCGTGTGTGTGTGATGTTGTGGAGTTCACGGCCAACACCAGTGGCGATGATCTAAACCGGTCTTGAGGCATCTCCTAGGTCGACTCAGCCTCAAATTAGTACTTGGTGCGGTGTGCAAAAACATCGCCACTGGGGAGACAAAGGCGGTCGGGCGTGGTGCTGGCCACCCACCCCCATGTGAGCTGTGCCGGCCTTCATAGGTGCTCGATAACAGCACTTGCCCCTACAGTCTTTGTCTTCGTGTAATGTTGGCAGGTTTTAAACGTATGCCCGGGGTCTGTCTCTTCACGCCACACCCAGTATACATCCAATACAACCGATCCGGAAAATATTCCGTGAGAAATGAAAACCTCGGTTACAATAACTCCACGTCTCTCTTTCTCTCTCTCTCCTCCCCGTATAACGCGCGGTAGGGCGAACTCTTTGCTTTGCCTTTTTCACCACGCTCAGGGATTCTTCTTCGTACTATTATTATTTAGTTAAACACAGCCACAGGCTCTCTCGACATGTGTGGTCTGGGGAGGAGAGAGAGAGTTCACTGAGAGGGAAGGAGAGAGTTGGTGGGGGGGGGGGGCACACGGGAGAGAGAAGTCTGGAGCGTTAACAGTGGGTGCCAATCGTCCACGATCAAACCACTGCTGGATGAAGGCTTCCCAAAGCTGTTGCTCACACTCTGGTGGTGACACGCACACAACACTAACAAGTGGCGGTGGCGTCACCACAGCGCACGTGCCAGGCTAGGTGCGCGTTTAGGCTGCCGCGTGAAGTGTCGAACGCCCGCTGGCAGGAGGTCACGGGTGCCATGGGTCGACCGACTGAGATGACTGGCCGATGCACCCACGTGTGCCTCCTACTCTGCCCCCTACTGTGCCAACTTGCTGTGTTTTTCGCCGCACGGTGCATACACACGCACGCGCTCACAAAGACAAATACTCTAAAATCCACATGACCACGGGGAGAGAGACACGCAAACTTCAAATATACAGGCGCCAGGGTTGAGATCAACCCCCCCACGACCTCTTGTATACCAGGCGAGGGAGTTAACATTTCGCCACAGTCTCTCACACACTCACGTGTACGGTCTACTTGTAGAGTACAACATTAAACCAACATGGACATCGTTGCGTAAAACTAGAATATGCACCATATAGGCGTTGAAATGCCCCTGTCATAGGAATGTGGAATTTGCAACGCGCCAACAGGATGAGCACACCTGAGGACCTGGGTTCGACTCCAGCTGCGAGTGATTCAAAACCGGCTTCTAAGCCCCCCGGTCACCAATGACCGCACACACGAACGCCACACCGCATTGCGTCGAATTCTGCACTCGATTTGGATGTAAAATTCCACTTTGAAGTGAATCCTACAAATCAATGACATTGTCACCAAGGTTAGAGGCGCAGCCCTGCAAATTGCTCGCTCACGCCACTGCTGTCGGAACGGCTCCCCAGCCTGAGGGAGCCGTAGAGAAGTCCCATCTCGAGACAGAGAGAGAGATTGTGGTTTTGATGGCCCAACTCTTCCACGACTTCATTTAATTTGCATATCCCCTTGACCAAGTGAGCTTAACAAAGAGTGAACTTCGATTTAAAGCTTTCGTGACTGCAGGGATTCATCTTCTTGGTTCTTTCGGTAAAGTCACGTAGAAGGGAAATAATAAAATAATAAAAATAAAACATGATATTTATTTGTATTATTTTATTATTTCCCTTCTACGTGACTTTACCGAAAGAACCAAGAAGAAAAAGAAGAGGGCTAAGGTGTGTGGATGGTGTGTTAGACGGCGTCTCGGAAGAGGCGGGAGTGACAAAAGATCCCCCGTGTAACCTTAACAGACTGCAGGGGCAAGTGCTGTTAGCGAGCACCTATGAAGGCCGGAACGGTACACGAGGGGGTGGGTGGCCAGCACCACGCCCGACCGCCTTTGTCTCCCCAGTGGCGATGTTTACACACAGCACCAGGTACTCATTTGAGGCTGAGTCGACCTAGGGGAGGCCCAGGACCGGTTCAGATAATCGTCACTGGTGTTGGCCGTGAGCGGGAATCGAACCCGTGTCGCCGGGTTCGTAGCGCAGCGTAGCGCTAACTACTACACCCACCGCTCCCCACTGACCACACGCGAACTGCCACCGATCGACTAACTGGACCGTGGAGTCGACCAACGCAGTCCGCGCTCCTTCAACGGCATTTAATGAACTCACCAAACGAGTCCGAGCAACCAACCAGGTGTACCCATGAACCCACCGACACCAACTCGACCACCAGGTGACCTGCAAATGTGGAACGTTCCGCGAACGACGACCCAACGGTTCCAACCATATTCTTTGGGCGTTTCGGTAAAGTCACGTGGATAGGTTCAAAGAAAATAACAACAATAAGTATAACCCGTAAAAAAAAGTTTTTCACTATAAATCCTTTATATGCGTGGCAGCTAGAGTCCTCTCGTCCTCTGGCTTGAGATGGCTGCCACCTATGGGTCAGATGATTGTCTGCCAGTATTAAGCAATTGGTAATTAAATATTTAATTTGTTTTTCCTAAACAGTGTAACATTTTGGAAAAAATTTTTCACGAACATTAATTGTCTCGCACAACGAGTCTGTGTGCAAAATGTCAGCTCGATTGGATCACGGGAAGTGGGTTAAAAA